TGTTACATCATCACATAAAGAATCACTAGCCTTCTCACAGATGTGATTAACCGAGCCAAAGTAGGGGGCAGGATCATGTTTTCATTCTCAATTACGCTTTTCCTAGTTAAAACCAAATAAAAGTTATACTATGTATAATCAAGAAAAGTCCTTTTAATTGAAATATAAAAAATGAAAGTTTATTTGCATTCTAGGAGTTCTCTGCCTTATATGGAACTAGATAGCCCAGTAACTTAAAGAGGAGTTCAGCACTTATTTATCTATTTAACAAATATTTATTGAATATTTACTACATGCACATACTGGACCATGCTCCGGCATTGCAATAGCAATGGAAAAAAAGAATCACTTGTTGACTTTTCAATCTAATCTAGTGACAGAGATGTACACTAGTAAAATAATCATGTACCTAAATATAAATTTACAACTATGATAGGTATAAGGGAATGAAGTACTTAGATTTGAACTAGAATTAACGAGTTCCTAACTCTCTTGAAAGTGGAGTAAATCTTTTGACCTAGTAATTCCACATCTAGGAATTTATCCTACATGCACGCTGTCTCATTTGCCCAAAAATAGATGATGAGGCTCTACAGTTTGTGAGTGTGTAAAACACTTAAATGTCCAATGGTAGAGGCCTGATTCAATAAATTATGCAATAACTACATAGTAGAAATATTTTTCATTAAAAAGAATGCAGTAGATAATAACATGAAAAAAATCTTACAAATATATATTTCATAAAAAAACAAGGTACAGAAAAACATGAATGCATGCCAGTATAATGATACCATTTGTGTTAAACGGAAAAAAGGAGATATATATGTATTTATGCATATAGAGTGTCTGGAACTAATTATCTTTCTCTGAAGAGTGGGAGGAGCTGTCTATTTTAATTTCACTTTAAATTTTGTTTCATTATGTTTTTAATTTTTTTGTGTATGTGGTAGTTGTTCTGTTATTAGAAGGGCATATATTGCATTACTAACTCATACAATTTTGAACACGTACCCTTGGCCTCATTACCAGACCACCAAATCACAATGTTCAGTGAGAGTATCCTAATAATTGGTAATTAAAAAAAAAAAACCACAGGAAAAACTACTATAAAAATCATCCCCAGATGATTCTGGCCAGCCAAATTGGAAACCATTGCTCTAACATAATAAAGTATCAACCTTAGGAAATTTTTTAATACCTTCACAATTTCGTATCCTTATTTGGGAGCCAAAATATTCTGAGATAGTTCTATACCTACAGAAAATAAAATATATGCCATGATAAAAAAATTAGTAAGTATGCTGATTTCCAATATCACAGTCTCTTTCAGAACAAGATTTTTATTCTTCTGCTAGGAAAATTACTTCAGACTGACATTGAGCTCTAATTTCAGGAAAAGTGTCCTCAGACTTCAAATACATCATCCTTCAAGCAGCTGTTATAGTCAATATTTATTGCACTCTACAAACCTTGATTTATAAAAAGGACCAAGGATTTGAAGTAGAAAAACTGAGAATGAACTATTTCATATCAAAACCTCAGTGTGCCAGAAAACTTAGTGCCTTTCTCATTAGTACTGGTTTCTCATGAAAATTCCTGAGTTAAACCAAACCTAGTATCTGACTCTGTTCTCCATCTTTAATCATGTTTTTCCAATTTTAATCATAAATAAAACAACCTTTGAAGTGAGTAAGCATATTGCTGGTCTAAACAACCCAAATAACCATCCATTTAATTCTGAATCCTCTACTTAGTAGCTCTATAACATTAAGTTACATAAATTTTCAGCATCTCAGTTTTCTAACCTGTAAAATGGAATAACAATGGAATAAAATTCATAGGGTGACTATAAGAAGTACAAGAATGAAAACAGGTAAACTTCCTGGAAAATATCTAACATATAGTAATGCTGAGCAATAAGCTTTTTATCTCTAACCATTGGTCTGAGCATTCAAGACATAAAGTCACAGTCTCAGCAGTTAAAGGCCAGTTTGAATTTGGATTTGATTTTGAGATTGTGCTTTTATTCAGTATCCTGCCTCCCTTGATTCAAGCATTTATCAAACACATATTAACTCAGTGCCATCTGGGTATAAAGCACCAGTCTAGACACAGTGCAAATAAAAGGATTTAAAGAAATAAGACCTTTTGCCTCTAGATTAGATTTTGGAAGAGAAACTGGAAAATGCACACAAGTATAAGGTGGAAGCCACTGCCATAAGAGGCAGGTATACGGGGATTTAGAAGAGATATTCATTAAGTCCAGTTGATGGGTGGTACAGGCCTGGAAATGGGGGATCAGAGAGTCACCATCATGATGTAGGGTTGAGGCCAACTACATAAATGGTGCCACTCAGCAGGGCCCAGCAAAAATGGAAGAATTTGACCTCATGGGGAAGTTTCTGACTCCACACACTCCAAGATCTCTTTCCCTACTGGAATGCTGTTCAAGGTGAAGGTTCTTAGAAACACTATCATCAAATATCCACATCTGTAAACATTAGGGTTTTCCTGCCTTTTAGACCCAGAAGACAAGAGTTGAAATAGATAATTCCAATGTGTGAGCTTATAATTCCATAAAGCAATGTCAGGGGAACAGCATCACACAGAGTTTTACAGCAAGAGCTCTACAGTCCAATCTGGCCAGGTGGAGAAAAGACAGCACTGCTACCTAGCGATAACTAGGTAGCCAAGGAGAGAAAAATCTGTTGGAATCTGCCCAAAGCCCAGTAAGCAGATGGCCATGGGCACAAAAACCATCACGACAATTGGCACTCCACAGGGATGCTCTGAGCAGGGAAGGGGCCTGGAAAATGTCCTTCTTTGGCTGCCCGTCCTTCTGAGGCATATTGGTGGCACAGGATGGGGAAAACTGCCCGACTGCTGCCAAGAGGAACAGAGATGGCCTTTAAAAATCTAGGCTACTGCAGCCTCCTGAGTAGTCAATCTGGTACCTTTCAGCAACCAGAGAACACCTTAGAGATGTGGGTGCTGATTTCCTCTGGGACAGACGATATCCAACAGATTCCATTCAAAGTTGGCTCACAGAATAATAACAAGGCAAGCTCCAATACAGTAGAGGGGTCTGAGTCCTCTGCAGCCAGACCTCATATGTCAGGTATATGGCATGAAATTGTTTTATCTGCTTTAGAATTCTTAAGTGGGTGGCATATGGAGCACCAAGTGCATGTGTGCTTTCCAAGGTTAAGTGCCACTGAATGACTAGGTTTGTTAGCTGTTTGAAGGGCCATTACCAGTAACAATTTACTTTGCAGAGGCTTGCTAATTTGGAATTTTTAAAAAGTTGAAGTAGATGAATTTTTTTCTGAAATTTATGATCTTGTCCTATTTATGATATTGCATATTATTTCACAGATACCTTAAACAATTGGCATTAATACATTTATCAATGACATCACAACAGACACACACACACATGCACAGAGTTTACTCTTAATCTGCCTTTGAGTAGACTTCTAATTGAGTCAACAGCAAATAAAATACAACGCTGAACTGCTGGCCTGTATCTCAAAAAATTATCAACTGAATTTCAGTAATAAGGACATCTAACTTTCAAAAATCACTCTGACATGAGATAGACATTATTCCAACATGAATTATATTTACATAACATTTGACTACTTTATACTTTTAAATAAGTTTTAAATATAGTTGAGAACTATCCTTCCCTGAAAAAAAAAAAATAACAAAATATCACAGCCAATGCACTCAGATCCCCTTGATTTACATTATTCTTTAAATAAATTACATAGACTGCATTGCTTTATAAGGACTGATTTTTAGAGCAGCAAACCCTAGTAATTACTTTAATTGTCTTAGGGCTTGAAACAGTTTAACAGTAAAGGTTTCTGATTATTCAATAATCTACTCATATCAATCAGAAAAATTACTAGTTTGGAGGAGTATCCGATCACAGCTTTGGTAAAGACAAAGAAGCCACAGTCAGCTACTGACTGCAGAAATTATATTATTATTTGATAATAGCAAGTAACCCTCAATCACGTAAATATACATCTTTATGAAACATTGTGTGGAGTCATAGTTCAGTTAATTATGACAATTCCGCAGTCAGGGAACATATTAATAGTGTGCAATTGATTCAAATTGAAATTATATCAAACTATCCCCAAAATGTAAAGTGACTAGCATACAAATAAAATAAATGGTAAGGGATTGGGGTAAGTGCAGATGAAGTTTGGTTGAGAAATAAAAAGTCAACAAACGTATATATTTATACGCAGCTACTTTTCGAAAGTATATGAACCAAAATTGTTCCCCCAGGAAAGTAAGTAAAATTGTTAGAAAGGTATCCTTCTCATTTCCATAATAGGGAAGAGACTTTCACTCCATTCCTAAAAAGGTAATTTTTCAAAGAGTAGCTTGTGACCCAGGCATGGCCTGGGGTCTTGGCTCTACTGGTCTCCCTCTACTAAATCAGTAGGTGATAAGGGAGTCTGTGGACCTCCATGGGACTGGCCCGAGTTGGCTGTGCAGACTCAACTCTTCCTATGGGCAAGACCCAAATCGTAGATTTGATGAGAAAAGGAGCTGTTAAGTCTCAGAGTCCATCTTTCAAAATTATTTAAGATTAGCTATCTTTTTCCCCATCCCTGTAAACTTAATGGAACCAAGAAGTAGATCTCAGGCTGCTACTTTAGGGGATGACCTTTGGTTTCACTCATCTTTCCTTTGACAACTGATGCCACAAAGCTAGTTAATATTAAATGGGGTTTGTACCTAAACCTAACAGAGAAATCTGACCTGCAGTGTTAAGGGTTAAGTTTGGGGTCATTTTATAATAATATGATCCATTTGAAATACGTTTTGACTTTTAAATCTTAAAATCCTTCTCAGAATAAACAGGAAAATTAATTTCAAGTAAACTCTTTCTCCCAAGTAAACACAGAACATGCTCTAAAGAAGCGCCACCCAATGTTAAAATACAATTAGCTCATAATATAGCATTTAAACATGAGTACCTCCAGCCAAGATCTTCTCTTCCAACTCTGCCATTTGCTTTTTGTAGGCCCTTAAAGCTGCTTCTTTGAAAGAGGGACGAATTCTCTTTGGCTTTATGATTTCCACTGGCTGTTCAGGAACGTTTTGGTTTTCATCTTCTCTTATTTCCATTTCAACTAATGTTTCATTTAAGGGTTCCAATCCACATTCACTAACCACATCATCTGCCTGCCCATCATAACTCTCATCTTGTGGGGTTTCGTAAGGTGTTTCATATAAAGGGTGATCATATTCCTGCATCTGTGTATCTGTTTCAGTAATACTAGTCCTATTTTCCAGCTTAGCAAGGACTTGTTCCATCACTTCAACATAATCTGTTTCATTAACAGCCACTGGTTCACTATAATCCTCCTCATTCTCTGCTTTGTAGTAATAGGGCTCCGTGTAGACATCAGAGTCAAGTGTGGTACTTGATTCATTTGCAGTTGATTGAGATAATGTCCGAAATCTCCCCATTAAGGAAGAGCCACTGTCCTCATACCCACTGAGGCTCTGTGTGCTTTTGTTCCATACTACTTCCAAGGCTGATTTAGCCCTCTGCAGTGTAGATCCAAATTTTGGGAAGCTGAAAGTCTTATCAGAAAGGTCAATGCTTAATCGACTATGCCATGATTTGGGCGGGGCATCCTCCGAATCATCACTTTGCAATTCACTTTGACTTCGATACATCATGGACAATTGGTTTTGATTTTCGTACAGCTCATTAGAATTAGATTCCTGATAAGAATCATATTGGCCAACCCACTGGCCTTGTGGTTCATTATCCAATCCTGGGCACGGAGATGAGTTGTCATCTTGGGTTAAATCATAGCTCTCTGAGTCATCTTGAAGGTCACTGTGGCACTTTTCCAAGTATTCTAGGTCTTTATTATAAACATGCAGGTGTTGGTCAGAAAGACTGTTTGTGTCATAGTCAAACGCTTCCTGGGTAGAAGAATCCAAGCCTAAATCAGCTCCTTGCTCTACTTGATTCCATTCCTTCCATGGAGAAAGATCCTCATGCAAAGAGAGCTGAGAATCACTATAATGACTTCGGTCTCCAGAGGCACATAGCATGCCGTTACTCATTCCACTATCCACAGTTTCTGTGTTTTCAATCTCACTGTGTCCTTGGACGCCCTGAACACTCCCACTTAAATGCTGGTCCTGAGGACTGTCATACAAGGTGGGTGTGCCCTCCTGTTTCCTCTGCCATAGTTCCCGATCTGAAGATGACAGGAGGGAGCTTCCATTAGTTCTAACGAAAAACTGATTTTCCGAAAAATCCTCTGAGTAAGACTGACACAATTTGGAAAAATCTGACTCAGAACGACTAAGTTTAGCAGTGAAAAAATCACTCTGTGAATGCCAGAGAGGTGTTGCATCAGCATAATGGGTTGTGGTTTGCTTTTCCGCGATATGTGATTCTGGCAATTGTGAGGAAGTTTTATCATAATTTGACTTATTTGAAATTCTGTTGCTATTAGCTGTTTTATTCTTGGATTTTGCACTGTGTGATTTTGAGCTTGGCTTGGAAGTGCTTCCCTTTGTTGGAAACTCTGGCTTGGAAAGCACAGCATAACTGTTTCTATTGAGGTCAGATTCCAGCTCTCCGTCACTGTCATCAGGTGACTGCCAATTGTTCTTCTTGATTTTGGGCTCTGGAGTAGAAAATTTTATATCCATGCTTTCATATGTCTGTGAGGATGGTATCCCTTTCTCTTTTCTTTCTCTGATATCATGAGTCAGAATATCTGTGGAGATTCCAATGCCTGTTCCTTTGAGTTTATATGACTTTTTTAAGACAGAATCCCTCTGCTGAGGGGTTTCGAAGTACACAAGTATAGGTCGAGGCTTTGCATTTGGGCAGTCCCTTTGATGTCCTATCCTCTGAGCAAATTCAATTTTAATAGCATTCGGCACATCTGAAAAGCCCATTTTATCTATTAGAATTTGGTACACCACACTTTCGACATATTCAAATCTTTCTTCGGGCACATTTAAAAATCTCAGGCTTGCCTTGCTACCCATGTGCCCTAAGTGTTTAATATAATCATGGATGTCTCTGGTTTCCCTCCGAGACTGGACGAATCCCGTACGCAGCTGCTCGATTTCACTTTGCACAACCTCCACGCTGCTGGAGATCTCATCGATGGAGTGCTTGAGAGCATTGACGTGTCCTCGCAGTTCAGAGAGTTCCGTTTCGATCTGACTTATTCCCTGAAGCTCCTTAAAGATCATTTCCATGACGTCATGTGTTTGGCTGATGCAGCCCGAGGAACTAAATCCCGGCTCCAGGGCATTTGTCTTGGGGTTTCGGGCGGTTCTGTCCAAAGACTTGCTTCTTATTCCCCAGGTTTTCTTCATGGTGCTCAGCTCGGAATCTGAGGAGACACACTCTTGACTCTTCTTCCATTTTCTCAGTTTTCTTAAGGCCCCTAGTTTTAAGCTGTGGAGCGTGCGCTCCCCGTCGGAGCTGCCCTCGGAGGGGGCGAGGCTGCTCGAACTCTTCCTGTTGCGTCTCACCGGCATGGCGCGCGCGGGCTGCGCCTGGCTCTCCGTGCTGCTCCTTAGTTCGTTTAAGGATCCCGAGCAGGAGCTCTCAATGGAAGACAGCTCTTGAAGCAGAGCCTCATTGTCACCGTTGGTGACGCTGATATTTTTCTGTAGGCCGTTGGCAATTGCTACACGGTAACTGAGCGTGGGCGAGAGGGAAAACTCTTTGCTGTCCTTGTCGTCCTCAGTGGATAAGTTGCGAGCCGATGAACACTTGGCGATCTTCCTCACCGTGCTTTTCAGGGTGTTAGAGATTCTGGGGGGTTTGGTCTGGCCAGCAGGAGGAACGTCTTGATCCTTTTTCTGCTGACGATTCTCTTTTTTTGTGTTTGTATTTCCCGATTTCTTTGTGAACATTCCTTTGCAAAGCTTATGTATGTAAGGGAAAATCAAGCTCTTGAAAAAATTAGCCACCATGGAGAGTAATTAGTGCAAGCTTTTTGGCGCCAAAGAAATAAACAAGGTACCCGGATGAAAATCTGAAACTCCAAGGCAAGCATCACTGTTCAGATATTCTGTGAGTCGCCGAAAACAGCAGGAAGGGCAGGCATGGCTCTGCCACGGTGTCACTGTCCGTGAAAACCAGAAGCGAAGCTCCATTTACCAAAGACATTCTCGCCTGGAGGAGGGGTTTTGTGAACCTCTCTCATTTCCGCATAACTCCATGTAGTATCTAAAAAGAAAGGAGTGTTAAAATAAATATCAGAACTCAATTCTAGATTTATCTCATTTCAAAAAGTATTTGTGATATATACATGGTGTGAAAATTTGCAGAGGAGGCAGGGGAATATCTGAATTTCAATACAAATTTACTTTTAAAACAACTAGTTAAAGGAAATCAGTACCAATGACTATGTTTATAATGACTTTTACTAAACCACTTATGGGTAGATACAATTGAAATGGTAATAATGATTAGAAAACGCCAAGTAAAATGACAGGCAATTTAAACAGCTGTATTAATTTCATAATGTTTCCACTTTATTTTCCTTCCTAAATTCATGTTTATTTACATGAACAAAGGGATTTAAATTTCAGTATATTCTCCCCACCCCAGATATTTAAAATTCAGCAAGTTAATATTATCTGTGTACGTAAGACATTTTCTTATTCAAATAATCTCTTACTCCTCTAGATATTCAACGACTGGGAATTTCTTCAATAATGATTAAAGTAATCCAAGTAAATAAATATTTCATATGATGAAGTAAATATTAAAAGAAAACAGATCTTATATAGCCACCAAATTTGTCCACAGAATATCATGAGTTGAAATAAATTAAATGTTAAATCAGATTAAGCATCCTAACAACAATAAAAATACAATATAGTAAAATATATTTGAAACTGCAGATGATGATACAACGAAGTTTTGAAAGTCTGGGGCTTGAGTCAGCAGAACTGTTCTAATCAACCAATGTAGCCTTGTAGTAACGGCAGAAAACCCATCCTTAGGGTTAGGGCCAACCATGGCAGGAGACAGGGTGCCACAGATAAAATGAATGTCTAGCTAATCAGGAACTGGTTGACTAGAGTTCGTGCTATGATCATATGTTTTGTAATGCAAATGACCACATAACTAAGTAAGTAATCTTTATGATGGCTAGTTTCTTGAATTATATAAAGGAAAAAAAAGAAAGAAAAAAGATTACGTTTAATTTTACTGATTTGTTAGCACAATGACTTGTATATGGTAGGAACTCAGAGTTTTGTTGAATTGAATTTATTATTTGATCACTGAAATGTATCCCAGAATACTAATAATAGTCAAAAGCTTTTGCTAGTATTGCAGTATATGTTTGGGTAGATAATCTATTTAATTCATTAAAGAATACATCATACACTACATATTGTTTTAGGGCCTTGCTGACTCTCTGTCAGCTCCATCTACTTGGAAATTTGCCAGTATCACTCCAGTCAGGCTCTGCAGGGACTTCAGGAATACATGCTCTGGCCGGGAGCCAAGCTTCATAAGAGACAGGGAGTGTAAACGAGGAAGGGGGTAGAAAAGATGGAGAGAAAAGAAGCAACCCTGAAGAAGCCCATGTCTTTTTGTTTTCATGAACTGTCAGAGTATAATTTCTCTTTTTGAAATAATTTGATATTCATTCACAATCACAAACCAGGACCTGTTTTCTACTAATGAAAATATCAAGAAATTGACTCCTGAGTTAAATTCAAAATGTATTTCTTATACCCCTATGTGACCTCTCTCCTTGTGAAGACGACTTTGAAAAGTTAAGCAGAAGTAGGGTACATATTAATAATTTTAAAACTAATTTTGGTAGAATAAAGTGTTCCACTAATTACTCAATCCAAAATCCTACAACTTCCAAACCTAGAAACAAATACCTGCTTTTTGTTTAAATGAAAGTAGCAATTCCGTTAATATCTCTGATGTTTTCATATCTAGACCTCCTGCCTGGCATTACTAGTTCAGAGATACATTTCTAGGCAATACTTGTTAAGGACAAATTTGAGCAGGACAGTTCAATTTGAATTGAAGTCTTGCCCCACCAAACACACACCCAAGAGTGTGTGTCCACAGCTGCATATATGAATTCACTTGCTCTGTATTCCAACTACACAGAATGACCTGTTATTCACTAAGGGCTCTAAATTCTTTCACACCTCAATAAATTTTATGTTCTCTTTGAGTAGAATATGATTCATACCGAGCCCTCCCTATCTGTAAAAATTGCGTTTAAATCCCAAAATCATTTGTCCCATGGAAACTTCATCAACCATCCTGAGCTCTTGTCTCTCTTAGTCATGCTCTCCCATGGCCCAGTTCACAGGTCATTAGAATTCTTCTGTATTTCAATACATTTCTGCCTCTCCGTTGGACTATGTCTTCTTTAAGGGTAAAAACTGTCTTATCCAATTTTAAACATCCTGAATCCAGCACACATAAAAAGCACTCAATTGTTATTGAATTGACACACTTTTCAGCCACTTACTAAATATCTCCACCTGGTTGCTCAAAATGAAACTCCATACAGAACCTAGTAATCTTTAATTACTAATCTCAATTAATGTCATCATAATTATCCACTTACCGAAGACATATCCAGGACTCATTCTAGATTCCCTACAATCCATCCCATATCCATACCTGAGATACCGCATCCCACAAGTAATGCTTTAGTTCTGAATCCTGTAATTTCTCAGCTGGACTGTTACAACTGCATCCTACATGGTCCTTCTAATGCTAATTTGACCCTTATTTCATATCCTAAATATCCAACAATATTAAAAAATACATAAATCCTTCTACTTGAAATACTATTTTAGCAGTCTTGTTTCCTGTCACTCCCACAAGCACATCTGCCCCAGCCGTGCAGAAGTAGTGGCAGTTCCATGATCACTGTAATCTTGCCTCACTCACCAATGTGCCTTTTTCCATGCTATTCCCTCAGCTTCTAATTCCTTTCTCCTTCCCCTCTCTATCCACATAAAAACCTACAGACTATCTATACATCTTAGACCCAGCGAGGCATCAGCATCAGCTTCTTTGACCTCCTCAGAGCACAACACTCCCTCCTCTGTGCTTCCACAATACCTTGACTGCTCCTTTCTTACAGTAACTCACACAATACGGTAATTATTTATGTGAAGTATTTTATTCATATGTCTGCCTCTCCACTCTTTGAACTCTTGAAAAACAGAGACCATATTCTATTTAAGTTTAAATATCCGTATTACTTGATATATAATAGACTCATATTTGTTGGATAAATAAATAAATGGACAAATAATAAACCTAATAAATAAACAGTAAAGGTTTCAAGAAGCCTGAAATGGTTGCACTCAGCCTTAAACAAGGAGAAGCAGTGTGAGCAGAAGGCAAGCATCAGAGACATTCACGTCTTGTTCACAGATGGAGAAGCATCTCCCTTGGCCATCTATGCCTAGGAATGCCTATGATGGGGAGTAGAAGGTGGGGAAAAATGGAAACAGAATGTAGACAGTTCTGAAATTTAGGTCAAGAAGTTCCATTTGATGAGGAGGTACTAATGGTTATTAGTTTACAGCAGGGTCTCTTGGTCCTGATTACCTACATTAGAATCTCAACTCTGAGATATACTAACTGTGTGATCTTAAGAAAGTTACTTAACTTCTCTAATCAATAGTATCTCCTCATAGGATAGTTGTAAGGTTTAAATAAATTAACACATGTAAAGTTCTTAGAACAGTGTCTAGGAGATACCAAAGCCCAGTAACTATTAGTTATCATTAGCACTGAGAAGAGTAGTGAAAACATGCAAGAAGCAATTACAGATTAATCAGGTGGTAGCTCATGGGAAAATGAAGACAGGTAGAAGTGGGAGGCAACCTAAGAATTCTGCTAGGTCAGACATCCTAAAGAAGTTATTGGAAGTGAAAGGGAAGATGCCTGACATCTCCATGGTTCAGCAACAATTTCCTAATATTGAAATCTCATCTTCCCAGTTACCAAGTTCCTACCATGTATGTATGTATGAGAGAGAGAGATACAATCCCATCATAAAACGATAGCTGCCTTAAGGAAAGAGTTGGCGAGTCCAAATTACCAGCTGTGGGATTTTCTCCAGACAGGAAACTGGGATGGAGAAGGAAGCTGACGTTTAATGAGCACCTGTTATGTTGCAGAAACTAAAATTATCTCAGCGATCCTCAGGTTAACTCTTTGAAGAAGGCATTATTATGTCTATTATGTGGATGAGAAAATAAGATTTTCAGAGAGATAAAGAGATGTGGCCAAAAAACACATAGCTAAATAAAGCGAAAAGATAGCTTGGTCCTTAGTCCTGTAGTTTATAAAGTGATCATTTGTATGTAGAGTGAATATTACCAGATGTAACAGACACATGTCCCTAAACCCACCCTATTTGAACCTACATACCTACTCTCTCCTCTGAAGTTCAATTTTTTTTAAAAAAAGGAAATATGTCAGATTAGGACAAAATTAGTATGGGTGAGGGGTAGCTGGAGGGTGGAGTGGGGACCAGGAGATCACAATATCATTATCTGATTCTCAACTGGTTGAATTCAAAAGCTCACACTTACCCTCAAGTGGTGCTAACTTTAATTACACGACCACACATTATTTTCAGTGATGAACTTTAGGGATAAGATTGAAGGTTTTCAGAAGAAGATCATTGAGACAGATTAAAACACTATTTTGTTATGAGAAGGCTTAGTAATAACATTTGATATCTTACTATGTGCCAAGCACTGTATATGCAATTTTGAAAAATTCATCTCATTTCATTCCTGTTAATAATTATATGAAATTAGTATTATTAGTTTCCAGATAAAGAAGCTGAGGTTTGGAGTTTTGGAAACATGCCATAGAGCATGCACGTAACAAGCAACACAGCCTTGACTCAGCCCCAGATTTGGACCACAAGTGTGTAAACCCTGAAACTAATATG